ATGTCAAGGACTTCAAGAGATCCAACTTCTGGTTGATGTGTTGTCCCTACGCCGTACAATTTTATGCTTTCGCGAGCATGTGACAAAACCGTGCACAGTCTGAACTTCGATTTGAGAGCGCCTCTGCGAGGCCATAAATGGCGTGACCACGTAAGAACAATTTCTCTAGGTTTTCTAGTCGGGACTAAGAAACGTTTTGAAAAATTTCGACAGAAGATCACCTGGAATTTTTCTACGAAGAAATTTAGCAATAAGGAACAACCTGCGGAACAACCTGAGGGAAATGTTTGGAGGAGGACCAGTTTGTAGGCGTCCCTCCGTACAAGTAATCTGGTCCTTAGGATTATCTCACTTTCGTGCTCCACATTAAGTAAGGAAGGCGCTCCGGCTTTCTTAAGTGGCAGTTCCGACGCCCTTAGTCGTCCTGCCCACCAAAACTCAAAGGCTATTTTCCGTCACTAGTTCAGCTTTCAAATCCTAATTATCCTTTTTTATCTGCTGGATGGAGTTAGAATTGGTTAACGCCAAGAAAGGATCAATGAGCCAGGAGCGGGCAGGATGTCGCTTCATTGGCATTAAACAAGCTGGTTTGGAGAGCTCGAGCGGTGAGGCTGCACAAGATCCTTACTTGGGGTGTACCCCATGCTTTTTTTCTCTTTTTCTCTCCTGGAGAGTCATATAACGACCATAGGTTTGCAATTGATTTTATATTATACAACAATAAATTTTACAACTTACATACAAGTCCTCTGTAGTAGATTTCATAGAATAGGCCATATCCTGTGAAAATACTCCCAATTGTACTGAATATTGCCAACCAAGCATTCCAAAAGTTTAGCGCAGAAGTCAGCTAGAACGATAATTGTTAGCTGCAGCTTCTCAGCTGTCAAGACTAATCTCACCTGGAACGGCTTAAAATTTGTCATAATGGCTTTAGTGCTAAATATGACCACGACGTACGCCATGGAGATGTAGAAGGTTGGTCTTTCAACGCTCCTCGTATACTCCTTAGCGTTTTCATAGTTGAATGGTATGGTGGTGGCAACTTCCAGTAATGATGGCATACCTGAATGTAGAGATAAGTTTACCAGGAGAACAATACAAAGTTTGCAATGAGTCGTCATGAGAAAAAAAATCGCGTTTCTCTCTACAGATTCGACATTTCCCCTTTCCCTCCCCAACGGACTCTTCAATAGAGGAAGTTATACTCAACCCACTTTCTGAAATTAAGGAGATCATAGCAAAAAAAGACCCTCCAAAATCGTGAGATCCTCAAAATTACAAGGTGTATGGCTTCTTCGGGAGAGTTTAAATGGAAACTGATCGAAGAGCGCAAAAAGGAACGTTACACGAAGTGATAACATTGTAGGCGCCGTTTATATGTGTAATCTTATCAGCGCATTTTTGGTGGTGCGATGGACGGATGTTCTGTTGAAGGAGCATCCCCTTGACGCGACAACAGCAATTTTCGTGCAGAACTAGTAGAGAAAGAAGTGTGTACTATCATCTACTGGAAACTGAACCACCGAAAAATGCGAAAGTATAGCACACTGAGAAGAACTCTATTCTGAAATTTCTCTCTACTAGGCGGTGATTAATGACTATATAGGAAGTTATCGGTTTTCCGACTCGATTTTCGATAGTATCTGGAAGGCTGCACGCCGCAATGCTAGACTGAGACCCTTTGTTTTCTGTTCGTCATTTACCAGGCAGGGATTTTTCTGCTGGAAGCGATTCTCCGGTCCTGTTATTGGTTCTATTTTTTTTCAAATGAAAAAACGTCTGAGGTGTAAGAGGAGTTTGAAATGATGCTTCCCACGGCGGTGAACATTTTCCATTAATGCTTGCATTGCACATGGTGACGGAGTAGAAGACTCCATCCAAAACACCCACGAGATGTTCCTATACACCCATAAACCAAGCAGGAGCGAGCCTTCTACCTTCTACCTTGCGTCACATTGGAGCTGAAGAGGTTCTACAGCATTAGCGTCCGTTACTGTCAGCGTAAATTAGCTGGCACTTTCTAAACCTGAGCCGCTCAGGCGCAGGTTTTCAAATGAGAAAGATTTGAGCGAAAAAGATGTGTGAGTTGCAGTTTTGGACACAAACTGTTCGACTGTTTATTGCCGACAGAACGTCAAGTCTCCAATGGGACGTGAGTCCATATCTACGCTTTCCAAGCGCCATATCTATACTGAAGATCCCAGTACACTGCACACATCAGCGATGGAGTGGGCGTGGTTACGCACTTCACTTGAACATGGTGTAAATGCCTCGTCCGTGGGATATTTCCTTTTGATACAAGTGTTCTCCTATCTTGTACTGGATGAAGACATGGTTGCAACTGTTCCGAAACTGCAATACCCCTCCGGCAGAGCAGCTGCAGCCACGTTCAAATGATGAAGCAGCCACGAACTCTCAATCTCTGGGATATGGAATGTGATAATTACATACACTGTGAAACTTCAACCTGCCTTTCCTCTGCTTTCTAATTTTGTAACTATCTAACCTGTCAGCGTCTACAGAAACAACAAGGCTCGGTTACCAAAAGCCGCTTTGAAACAGGTGTTTTCATTTTTATTCGCTATTTATAGATCTTCCCGTGGGAAAGCTCTACCCATTAATTGTTATGCCGCTCTCTTCGCGCTACACGTCAATTAAAAACATTTTACATGGACTGTTTGTGAAGCGAAACAAGGGCTATTACTCCTTAAAGACGTTTGATATTAGTTATACTGAAAGCGATCATTCTGGAGTAATCTTTTCGGGATTGAAATACTGTAAATACAGGGAAGCCCAATAAAGGCACTTCATTCACATGATTCACCCTACAACGTAATTCGTACTGAGTGAGGGGTGAATGAATGGAGGACACTCATTTCGGACACTGATCTGAGTCCTTGAATCGTAATCAGTCGAATCAAAGTGAATAGATCCCCAGGGCGTGTGACAGTGAATTTCGCCGTTGAACTGTGAAAGGAATCATGAACTATAGCGTTGCCGTTTTCCGAAAGCTAGACAGCTACTCCTTCCAATGATAGAGCGACGGCCTCCAGGACCTCACTCACGACCCATCCAGGAAATGAGGCAGTTGCTTTCCTCCGAAGCTACTGTAGACCTCATAAGTTCAACAACGACGATGTGCGGTTTTCTGCTTGTCGAGACGTTGATGGGTATGATGCAAGCGTTTGCTACCGCTCGTAGAAAAACATTCCAGAAATCTGCCATTCGTTGTCTTGAAACTGGTCACCCTGTGTAAAGTAAAAAATTAAAGTGTGATGGTGCGTGCC